GCCTAGTTAAATCTTAGCCTTTGTGATTACAATAAATAAATAAAAAACAAATGAAAATCAGTGGACTCGAATCAACTACATCACAAGCCACAGAGATATCCTTTTGGTCCAGACCGTATCGGGTGGGTGTTTTGGTGTTTATAGAGGGAAGAAATCACCAAGTGCGGCGATCGAAACCAGGCTGCAGCTGAGGAAACCAAAAGCTGTCTCCGTTTGGGTTCCACTGTCTTGTTACCATGCAAAGCCTGGATTTCTCATTGAACTTATCTTTTCTAGTGAAACCTGCGAAACAAATTTATTTTGTTTCGCGAAACCTTATGCTGAGAGCATGTTCCCAACAAAAAATATCAAGTAATCCTCAACCCCTGATGTACCCAAGTATTCCTGACCAATTAAAGGGAAATAGGAATTCAACAGACAAATCTTAATTTTCATAGTTCATACATGAGGTAGATATTTGAAGGGTATGTTACTGAGAGGTTTGGATATCAGTTGGACCTAACCCTAGACCAGTTCTTGAGGTACATGAATGTTTTATAGGTATTATTATGTCCCTTCATATTAAACAGTTCGCAGAACCGCATAAGCGTCATTCATAAATAAGTATTTCATTGAAAATTCTACAAATTTTCCAGTTATCAAGACGAGTAAATATCCGGTTAGGCAATAGGGCAAGTGTTTTACGAACAGAGATCACACCTTCAGCGAGAGAAATTACAATACATACGAAATAGGATGGAACTTACCGACTGTTTCTAGTTCAGAGTGACCATAACTCAACAATTTTGGTTTGCAAAATATGCTAGTACAAACATGGAGACTAGTTCTTTTTCGACAAAGCACATGGGCGATGTCCTGGATGTTGACGTCAAAATGTAGGCACGCAATGGGAGCTACGCTTCACGAGCAAATTCATTAACATTTTCCTTTTTGGTTTTTTATTTTCCTCATTTGGGGATTTTTGTATGACTTCCTTTCATTCTCACTTATTTGCCGCAGACAACGAACAGGATGAAATCAATAGTTTTGATTTGAAATTTTTACAAGTAAAACAAAGGGAAACAATCACTTCGTGTTTGATTTTATAATGAGGCACCGTCCGTGATTATTTAGATGTAGCGTGGAAATTATTTTTGATTTATCTTTTTGGATGCATTCATGTTAAGGTGACGGTTCTAACTGATTCACCGGCCCATAGACTTGGAGTCAGAAGAAACGCTCGCATCAGTGAGTAGAAAAGATGTTAAATCTAAAGTTATGATAGTTGCTTCTGAAAAAGGAAATACTTTTTTCGATGCGCTGAAACTGTGGAAAAGATAAAGCTTCTTTAGTCTACTGGTTATCAAGCGGCAACATTACTTCTACAAAATTTTAAATTAGGTGCATGGAAATCAGATTCCTTGGCATTGATACTATCAAACGCTTTTAAAAGCTGCAAAAAAAATCATATAATGTGCAATTTATTTTGGTTTAGATGCAATGGAACTTGACATTGAAAGAAGATACAATTTAATATCGAATGTTAAAAGAAAGGACCTTAAAGTTTGCAGCTGTTACCTTCAGACATGGAACGCCTTAAGGCTCACCTTGTAGAGTTCTAGGGGTCTCCATTTTATTGAGGGTTTGCCATTGCCCTTCCCTTTGTTTCACCAGAGCCACAAGACACTCTTCAGGAGGCCTATAAATCTCTTGGGCAAGGTGAAGTCAATGGACTGTTGTTAGATGCCTATATCGCCGGAAGTCGCTCCGTCAAAGATCTCTTCGACAAGCAACTCCGGGTCAAGGAAGTCATAAAGCTTCCAAAAGGGTTTGGAATTGTCTTGTCGGGAGAAGCCATGAAGCTACAAAAGAGAGTTCGTGATTACATCAGAAATAATGCTGGACTTATCACCAAAATGATCGAGAACAGTACCACTCCATTACAGGTATACTTCAAACCTTCTAATTTCTGACAGCACTTTGACATGTTTTCTTGCTGCTGGACGCGTCATTCTGCTTTATGAGGACGACATATTAAGTTGCCAATCTTTGTTTCCAGCAACCAGAAAAAAGTGAAGCCGAGGAACAGGCTACAGAGCTGTTTTCTGCTAACTCCTCGTTATTTCATGAGATACTTTTTGTGCTGTTGCAAACACTTGGGGCTGCTGTCCTCTGTGGACTCGTTTGGGAAGCCATTCGCAAACTTCGCGCTCGAAGAAAAAAAGTACTTCCAGGTAAGTCAGTCAGTCAGTCAGTCGGTCATTCGGTCAAATTGTTTTCATTCAACAATTAAACTAGGAAATCGCAACTTCAGTTGATTGTGGACAGCTCATAAATCAGTCCTTGAGTCAGCCTTTTGATCTGTCAGTCGATCAGTACAAGGATCATGCAATTAACTAGTCAGTATCGTTCGTTCCATTGGTTGGTTGGTTGGTGGGTCGGTTGGTCAATGATCTATTAGTTTCGTCATTTAGTAGACCATTCATTCAGGCAGGAAGTCAGTCAGCCTTATCAACTATAACTTTAGTCCGTCATTCAAAGCAGTAAGCCTACTTGTCAGTCTATACCACTTTCTTGAGTCTTTCAGCGAGTTAATGACCAGTTTTATTTTACGATTGATATTCAAAGGAAAAGAAAGGCTAGCAGTCTTAGTAATTCCTATCTTGTTCACTCCTCTAGAAAGGCATGGCAAAGCGAGACTGATGACACAAAGAAATGAGATGCTGAAGACAGTGCAAAATTTTCATGACAGTTTCCGACAACTTTACATGGATTTAACATATAAAAGTGTTCAGGAACTTCGACGTTTTGAGCAAGAACAAAACCGACGAAAACAGAGTCGGAAAAATGCTTGGACGTGATAGAAAATATATTATATAACAACAGAAGTCTTTCATAGTTTGGATTAGAATTTTTAACATAAGAATTTGTGCATGTTGAGTTATGGCCAGTAAGAACTCCAGCTGAATATTGAATGACAAGTTTATAATTCTCTCTGCTAAATCAAAACATTTATTGAAGAGAAATCATAGTGGAACTTTGCAATCGATGTTTGCCTTAGTTTAAAGCCACGATTGGTGTTTCGATTTAACTTGAAATTCATTGTTTTTTTTTCTTACAATCGAATTGTTAGGTTTTGAGTAAGACTTCTTGGTGGGTATTCACTCAAACTGTGATGGTTTTCCTTTCAGACAAAGACAATATGTTCCTTTCTCACGGTTCACAAAAACATAGCAACGTCATCATTTTACTTATTAATATTGTCTTTATCTTTATTTCTGAAAAGTTTTTTAAACAAGACTTTTGCCTTGGATTTACGTTAATCTATCTGAATGCTTTTCAATACGTATTTTACAGCATAAATATTAATAAAGTTTGATGAGATCAACTTGAATCTTAATTATAAAAACCTATCAAGTTATCAACATAGCGCATAACTTTACTTGGGAAATTATATTGGTTTTTTTCATCTTCATCTTCTTCAACCGCAGTGATGATTGATAAGTCACTTGACAAACAACTCGAAGTTCAATAATTAACCCTGACAATTTTTCTTTCGGAAATTTCAACTGTGCCGGGGCCGAGAAATATCCAATGGAGTGTCGCAACTGAAAAATCCTAAAAACACTTACTGTTTAATGCTGAATTCTTCTTTCCTCAAGGCCGATTTCAACGCCCGCAAAAAATGGTATGTATGCCGGAATATCAATTTTAGCAATTTCTAGTGCATATTTGTTTTTCTATGTAAAACTAATTAAAATGAATACACGTTTCCATCCTAATGTCTGAACAATTTATTTTTTCAGATTTTAAGGTGGATCCCACATTTGATACTTACATTTCAGATCGAGTTTTCGATAATTCTACAAATAGAGGGTAAGTTTGTATTAAAAAAAAAATTTGAGTATTACATGTAAAATTTAACCAGCCCTCAATATAAAGTCGCGTTTGAAAAGTTAGCACAAACATCTGGCTAGGAACAATGGATAGTTTATTTTCATGAATTTTTTCATTTTACCTGAAACCGGCTTTTGAAGCCGAAAAAAATTAAATTGTAATTTACCGTTGACAATGATCCGCCCAGGTATAATATATATAAAAGCATAAATATCTCGTCGTTTCTTATTATACCTTTACCTCGATAAACTTGTTGAAAATATTAAAACAAACTGAATTAGAATAAAATTATAATTGGGCCCATGCAAAACCTGGTTAATTTAGTCAGCTCTTTATAAGTCTTATGTTCATGCAAGTATTTCACTTTATTGCCTTCATCTGGACACACAGATGCTTCAGAGATGATTTCAGATTTTTTAGCAATATTAAGGCATTTATTTAAAAGTATTTTCTGAAGAAAAAGTTTGAGAAAAAATCTTAGAAACATGAACTAATCAAAAAACACTTAATACTGCAAAAAAGGAAAAAAACAGAAAAAAAAAAAACAGAAAAAAAAATTTCACCAGCTCAAACAATTGTACTACGTAACCAATACTTAATGCAAGCTGCGTTGAAAAGCTACCGATGAGACGACTTCGAAAACGGAGGTTTATCAGTTTGGGGCGCATTGTTAGAGTTTGTATCAAGTACTATTGTCCAATCTTAATTTCTGTGAGCCTCCCAGAGTTTCCAATAGATAGATTTTACCGAGGCAATCTCAGTTTACATTTCGAGAGTCGGCCTATATTTTTAAAATTAGGACTCAAAATCTGTCTTGAAAATCAATTATAAGCACATAACGTCGGTTCACTTTTCTCTCGACTGAAAGGCCAACCATTTCCGATCGGCTTCTACTCTTTGGATGCTACACACGGTGTCAATGACACAAGCAGTTGCAGGAATATACCAGGGATTGCAAATGACACGACTCTAGCACCAGGATATCTAGAGGAACCAGACACAGCTTATCGCTTCCAAAAGTCACAGTCGAGTTGTATCCGAATATCCAACAATGGAATCTACAACACAAGCTCTATAACGTTACTTACCTGGTTTGAAACCGAAACCTCTATGGGTCACCAGACGATAATACAACTCTCTTCTGAAGGCAAGATGGCATTCCTATTAGCAATTGATGTTAGTACGATTTACCTTGAGGTGTACCCAAAGTGCAACGGGCAACCGATGTCCATATTTCCAGATATCACAATTGAAGCCTTTACTTGGTACTTCATTGGAGTCTCGTATGATCACACAACTGGTCTGATGGCAATTCACATACGGAGCTTCTACGGACACCAACTTGACAGAAGCGTTTCAGTTGGTGTAATCGAGCTGGACACTCGTCATGACATATGGCTTGGTTATGGACCTGAATCACCAGGAGCATTCACAGGAAGCATGGCGTGTTTCCAAGTTTATGATGAGCCTTTAAATGAAAAGAATATGACGGAGGCCATGAGAATGTGTATTCCAATTCATTGGTCAGGTAGGTATATGTGTAAATGATCGGAGAATTAATAATTTAATTACTGCAATGCATCCACGCCTTGTGGTCACAGAGTAAAAATACCGTGTAAGAGATCTGGGTTTGGCCTATGCGAAGAGTTTTTGTTTGCTGTCGGGAAACTTGACTGAGGGCGAGGGGCAACATGGAATGCTATTTGATAAAGACAGAGTAGAAGATAAACCACTAAAAGTTTTTGATAAAGTTCAATTGTTTTTCTGATGATCTCCATTTCTTTTTCTCACACACCAATGAAGAACCTATCGCCATATACGCCCTTAATGACAGTAAACAAATACCAGACTCAAGTGGAAATTCTAATCCAGATGGCATCGCTCACAATATTAACGAAACAGGCGGTCCATATGGAGAAAGTAGATCTGTTGAATTTGAGGGAACCTCAGCAAGCTATATTCAAATATCACAAGATGGAAAACTTTCTATCACAGCTTCCTTTAGCATTCTCGTCTGGATTTACAGGGATTGGTCTATGAACTCGCTGATAGGAAATGGTGGCGAGATTGTGACAATTGGCTCTAAGAGTGGGGCTATTTCAGGGTTGTTGTTTGGTTGTACTTGTAACAGGAAACTTCTGGGAAAGTTTTATTTTCCAAGCTCAGACGAGACTTTTAAAGTGTCTTATTCTCTTCCAACCCATTTGGAGTCTAAGGAAGGGTGGTATCACATCGCATTGGTATATAATAACGACACAGGGCAAGCTAGACTGCACGTCGATGGAAAATTACAAGACAAAAAATATGTTGGTTTGGGCATAGTTGGAACAGATGCAGATGTTATCATTGGAAAAGGGTTTAAAGGAAGAATTGCTTGTTTGCAGTTCTACCGCAGACCATTGCTCGAAGAACACATTAAATATGCTATGGATAAATGTTACATAGAGAGTCCGAGTAAGTTAGTAGGAAAGCTGAATATATTGCTATGCAGCAAAAGGAGATTGCTCTCATGAGATATAATACATTAAAACCTGCAACATAGCGAGTTGCCCAAACAATTTCATATGTGCTATTTCATCTTTCAAGAGATACTTGATCTTCTCACTGGTCAAATCTTTAAGAAATATGATCAGCTTCTGAGTTAATTTCGTTCTAAATCAGGTAATATGAAAACGCCTCATTGATTTCGAACCTTTTTTTAAATTGGCTTCATTTATGGAAATCAAAGAAAAGATGAAGACTTTTTTTGCAAACTCTGTTTCCGGGGGTTGGAGGTTTCGCATATTTTTTCCTTTTAAGTGGCCCAAAATAATGTCGCTATGACCTTTACGGAGGTGAACGCGTTTCATGGAAATTCAAAGTTTTTCTCCGACTGATTACATGAACTGCAAGTACTATGTCCAGAAGATATTGTTACATTCCTTTTATTTCCTTTAGCCCCAGCTGTTTGCCAACAGAGGACCAATGTGTCAGTTTCATCTTGCCCATCAGTTGTTCCGACTACACACAAATCCATGGTTGTTGTTTCTTTAGCTGTGTCAGAGCTGTTTTCCAGTACCCTTAACGACACTCTCTCCACAAGGACAAGAAATATGACCAGCGTGTCGGGAAAGAATTCAGTCTCCGGAAACACGACTATCACGAGGTCAGCAACAGTATCTCTATATTCCAGTAATGTTCTCGAGCAGACCACAGCTTCCAAAATAGCTATATTTTCGAAGGACGTCGCCTCTACGTTGCTGGAGACTCTTTCAGTTTCCGACGTGAATGTCACCATCACTTCTGCGTCCTCCTCTAACTCATCCAGAATTAGATCTTTTCCCAAACCAACGCCCACATCAACCACTGCATGGAATATTGAATTATCTTCAACCGTAAATGGAATCGTAGCCAGTGAACACTATGGAGTGACGCAGGTTCAACGGACTACGGAAAAGACGCCTGGCCATAGTACGCCATCATTTCTTGTGAAAACTATCAGTTACGGTAGGCTAATCTCAACCTCTAAAATTTCTCACTTGTCCACAAAAGTCTTAGCCAGATCTTCGGAGACTACTATCCAAACAGATCAAATCATTCGCTCAGAATTAACTTATTTCTCCAACATTGGTATGAAAACTACAACAAAGCAAGCTCCTGGACCATCATTCACATCGAACACAATTTTTTCCAGTCAGAATACCAACAGTTCAGTCAAACCAAGTCGACCGGTTACCGAATCTGTCAAAAGCTCAATTATCAAAGGTACCACCTCGTGTTTGTCGTTGTTTTATTTTTCAGTCTTACCTTAAATGTCTTGTTTTTATTTAATGTACTGGAGAAAAAAAGGAAAAGTTCTTTCTAATCATGGGCTCCTATCAACCTTCCCATCACATCAATGGAATGCTTTTTTAACACGAGCCTGAAACAACTAATAAATATTTTGGATGCCACAGTTAGCTTCCTCGTGTACCATTAGGGTCAGAGTGAACAAGTAAGGCTATTCCCAGTCGTAAAGGGAGACTTTGAAGAACTTGAAAGATGTTATCAAAGGCTGGCGGTCTCGGAAATTAAGCAGGGCTCGTTTGTATGCTTCTGGTTTCGTTTTCATAGGCGATGAACTATTTTCAGAGCAGAAGAGAATGGATAAAATCGTGGCCCTCGATATTTAAATTTAACCAATTCCGATATCATTTCACGCATACTTTTGGTAGATCATCAAAGATCTCCTAATCTGAGCCAGTGGAGTGCTTGGTCGTCTTGTTGCGATCCTTGTGGGAGTGGACTACAATATCGACAAAGATCATGCAGCAAAATGGAGACAGAACATTGTACTGGAAATGAAACGGAGACAAGAATGTGCAAGGCTCCTTCTTGCGAAGGTAACAATATAAAAATATAAAGATTAAACCTACACTCGATTCAAGTGGCGCATCCAACCAAAACGTATCCCGGTTTCCTCAGCATGAAATGACTAAGAGTATTCAATACTATTTCACCTTACATGGGATGCCCATCCATCGAAAGACTACCCCCGCCTCCCATCATATTTCATCAAGGTTCCCTGAAAATTTTCAGGTGCTCACTTACACTCATGGGTGGAGAAAAGCACTGTGAAAGTAATGTGTTTTGCTCGAGAACACCACATAGGGACCCGGCCAGGTTTCGAGCCCGGGAAACTCGACCCGAACTCCAGCGTTCTAATAATTAGACCACCGTGTCTTCAAAAGTAAAGAGGTAAAAGATTAGAATGATCAAGGGAATGTATCTGTGAGGTTCAGTATATAAATTTTAAGGAGAGGCTGTTTCGAAATTTTCAAAATCTATCTTCTTGTTTTAATTTCTGGCATGCAAGATATAGTGAAGGCGTTTCGTTGCCCAAAAAGTAGGAATCCTTGTTATGAATGTATTTTATTTATCATTGTGCGTTCATTGCTTCAGCTACCTGTTTCAATATCACTGCAATCTTCGTCGATTGGAAATGGGATGACTTACTGTTGGTGGAAAATAGCTCTAGCTTCATTTCCCTGGAAACGAAATTGCGACAAATGGTTAGTATGTGTGAACGTTACAACACTTCTTTATAAGAACTGTTTTACATCAGTGGCGAGAAGTTTCCATATCGGTGTTGGATTAATGGAAACTAGTCGGTTGAAACGAATAATATATTATAGATAGTAAGTTTAAAAGAAAGCGAATAACTGACGGATAGACAGGATGACAAACAGACAAAAAGCAAAAAAATATACAGACAAACCGACTGAAATTAAGTACTTTGTCTGACATAACTATTTAAAAATAAAGTTCTTAGAAATGCTTGGTTTACATTCTAGATCACAGACCTGTACCCTGATGAATCTGTAAGTGTTACCCTCTTATCATGCTGGTGAGTTCACTATAATGAATACAATTAAAAAAAATGGCCCCGAATGGCCAGAGGACCAGGAGTTTTTGATGCTTTTCATTTGTTCTTCTGCCTTAGGAAGGGGAGTGTTGTAATCCACTTTACTGTCGCTTTTTACGTGGTTAAATCAGATCAGATGGTGAGGCTAACTGAAAATATGAGCAGCAAAGGACTTCTAGCTTCTCTTGAACTGGTGAACATTACAACTAACAGAGGTAATGTGTGGCGATGATAAATAATTACCGTTAAGCGCCTATATATCCTTATGGGCATCACATTCCCAAGTTTTTGTTACCACGAAAACACATATTGTATACAGACGTGCTCGCCTTTTACTTCTTCACTGTTGGATGAGGCAATGACTCCAAACTGGGGGGGGGGGGGGGTGGTGGTGGGGATATTCAGGATATGGAGAAAAGGGCGTCACAGTCCTATCAGGAGTATCTTTTTCACTTATCGTCCTCCCCTGGTGATGATGCCCAACGCTAGAAATGTTTTCCAAGAGGAAGACACCTACACAACAGATAGAGCATAGTATACAAACTATGGAAAATTAAATGTAATTTTGAAAAATTTGACACTTGCCCGACAGCATTCCAAAATAAGTGCATCACCGTTATAACCAAAGATAATAAAGAACAACACTGAGCTTATTTTGTCGTGTATTCCCACAGAGTAAGCTAAAATAGTTATTTTATTTTCCATAGTCTCTAGCCAAGTTCCCACCATCATCGAAGCATATCTGACAAGTGCCTCTAGTCTTTGGATGTCTTGGACTCCAGTTGTGGATAAAATTGAAGGTTATCATTTGGCATTTCGATCTAACAGGACCAACGAATGGACAAGCTTATACACTGATAACCTGACACTTTCTCTTTCTTTGGTGAACTTGACAAACGGTGACGTTTACAGAATCAGGGTGGCAGCGTTTAATTCTGAGGGGAATGGTATTCCTAGTGACGCAGTTGAAATTCAAATGGAAGAAAGAGGTATGCAGAATATTATGTTGAAGACCCAATGTCTCTCGTCGGTAGATTAAATTGAGAGTAAAATTATCAGGAATAAAGATAATCTTAAAGTGGTGGACATTATAAAAGGGAAACATATTTTCAGAGCGCGGGTTACCTTACATTGATGTTTAATGCGTTTAATGAAGTCACTTTAACGCATTTGGCTTATGTAACATCGTTCATCCTGGAATTTTTAAAATAGCTCCCAGGGTCGCCCCAGACGTTTCATTGTGGGAAGTCAAAAACACTTCTTCCTTAAAGATTTCATGGAGTACCATACCTGCGCAATACGTCAATGGAAAACTTTTGGGTCACCATGTCATGTTCAAAGCACTGAAAGTGGCGGATCGGGATTATGATGAGGCCAAAGCTAAGATAGTAACAAAGCCAGCTGCAGTAGGTGAAAAGAACGAACTGGTTTTGACGTCGCTGAGTTCGTTCACGCTGTATAGAATTACAGTAGCAGCGTTTACAGCAAATGGAATTGGGAAGATTAACGAACCAATCTTTGGAGGTAAACGATAATACTATATGATAATGACAAAGAAGGCAACACCACCCCCGCCAAAACTATCAAGAAAAGAAAGTTATCTCAGTACGTGACTATGACTGATCGATTTTGCAGCCCATATTTAACTGTACAGTTTGCTTAATTCAAAGTTTGTTTGAATTACAGTTTTACCCCTCTAATAATCGTTTTTTCTCTCGAATTTATGGCACTGTGCGTTTTTTGCCCGGGCCATAGATCTGAGCAGAAAAGGCTCAGTCCAGATCTTAAAGTTCTATAGCAGGGCGATTTTGGTTTTAGACGAAGGAAAGAACGAATCGTAAAGCAGAAAATAGAGGATGTTTTTAAGGTAATTGATCTAGCAATAGCCTGCTAAACCGTTCGCACAAGGAAAATATATTGGATTCCTTATATGCATTAGGCAGATAGGATTTCCTTTGACACAGCATTGTATGCTAATCTAGTAATTACGGCTGTATACCTGTACTATTTGTGATCTGCTTCGCATTATCTTAAAAAAGTGACATTTTTTCCCATAGAAACCTGTGCGTGTCCCGCAAAGTTGTACACAAACTGGGCACCTTATCCTCCCTACGTCACAGAGATTGACAAGGAACCTGGCGGAATCATCGGGGAGCTTATTCGCGATATGATATCCTATTCATGTGGCACTTGTCAGGGAGGGCATGGGAACACATTTTTAGACTTAACCCAGAACGGTAAAGGAGGTCTCTCTAAAAAGACATCGATGGCTAAGGTGCGCAGTGACGTGGACGATAAAACGCATTTGAGTTTCCCTGTCATAGGGAACATGGACGATGAGAAGTATCTGAAGGAATTTGTTTTCATTCCTGTGGTTGCATCACCGGGTATCGCTTTCATATCGTTGGGAAGTGAGCCGAGCAGACAAGGGGTGATTACCTCGGCGTTGAAGAAAAGTTGGCCCATCGTTGCTCTGTCATTGGTAATGGCAATCATGGTTGCGATCTTCATTTGGATTTCAGTAAGTGACAACGATGGGACTTAATGGCAGATTGATTAAAGGGAAAGACGATGCAAAATATTAGTAAAGAATTATCTCACACATAGCAGAGTGAACTTTTGATAAGGTAAATGAAGGAAAGACATGACTAAGGGGCGAGAGAGTTTTAGGAAACAAAAAATAAAATATTCTTAGAAAAAGTTTTTCTGGCTGTTGCCTTTAGTTGGATGGTATTTCGATTTGAGAGGCTCAACTTAACCATTTCTTGCTTCCAAATAATCATAGTTTGTCCTCCTAATAAGCCTGCCATAGTATATCTATCTATCTATCTAGTTATATATATATATATATATATATATATATATATATATATATATATACATATAAGTATATGAATGGCTAATATGATATCATATCACTCCTTTACAACAGGAGAGGCAGATCAATTCAGAGGATTTCTCTCGGTCATTTTGCAGAGGAACCGGGGATCTAACATGGTTTTCATTGATAACAATTACCACAGTGGGGTGAGCATTGTATTTTTAGCTCTGCAATCACCTGGAAATGTCTGTCTTTTTTATAACATTTATCAATTAAACAAATACACCGGTAAAAAAACATCTTTAAATTAGAAATCTCGTATTTTTTGACAGGCGTAGCTAGGACTTTTCAAAGGAAGTTGGGGGCGGGCAAGGAGGGAGGGTAGCACGTTATAAATTTTCGGGTTCCTAGGTGACTAGGCTTGATCGACCGGCGACTACAGATTTTTCGGATTCGCAAGTTCTATACTCCTAGCTCTGAAAAAATCTGAAAATAAATATTATCTCAAAAGATAAAGAGGGGAATGGGGGGCGGGGGGAGGGGAAGGGGAGGGGAGGAATAGGGTGGTCATGGATAGCCCAGCCTTCCATGCTCCTGTGATGGTAATTTTTAGCCGACGTTGTTCTTCGTTACTACCTGCAGATTTGGAGACAGAGTGCCCGTGGCAGTAGTTTCCAAGCTCATCACGATCATTTGGATCGTGCTCGGCCTGGTACTTCTCTCACTCTTTATGGCAATGCTGACTGTGTCTTTGACTGTTATGACAGCAGATGAGGGACGAGCGATGCTGTACGGGACAAAGGTCGGTTCATATTCATAGAGTGACCTCTGGTGATATATGGGAAACCGTGATCTATCAAAAGTGGACACGAGTTCTAGAAACTTATGCTAAAATAGTTATCAGTTATTATCTGCTTCCCTCCATATTGATGCGGGTCCGATTTAAAGACAGATAATGAAAATAGAAAGAAAAAAGATTAAGGGTTGTTCTCCGCCAACTGTTGAGAGCTTTGCAGAAACTATGGCCATGAGCCGTTTAAGTTTTATGTGTGATTCTCTTACTAAGTAAACCATGATTATTCAATAAAGTTTTAAAGCACTAATTCACCACTGCAAATCAATGAATTTTGATCTAGGTGACTGCATTGAAAGATTCTCCATCGCATCGTCTTGGAATACGGAGAAATGCCATAGTAGGTAAGTAAATGGCAAACTCTTTTTCAGTATGGGTAAACAGGTAAAAAAAAAATGAATGACCAACACAGATCACAGAGTTCGATTAATAGTGCCTGCAAATATGGGGACGTGAAACTTGAGTGAACACTATTTTGCGATAAGGTCCTGCCCTCTTCCTCCTCGGAAGAATGCCACCTTAAGTGTAGGATTAGGAAAATAATAATGTGCCAGTTGAAGACCAGGTTTGCCCATGACACATCTTAATCAACCAGTTTTAATTTGGGAAACTTTGTATTTCATCAGATCCCAGAGATACCCTCGAGGAAGCGTTTAATGCTCTTGAAGATAGAGAGAGCGATGGGTTACTGTTGGATGCATATGTGGCCGGTAGTGGTGCCAAGGAAAAAACGTATCGTGTTAACCAAGTAATAGACGTGAAAAAAGGACTTGGTGTAGTACTGGCCGGGGATGCGATGGTTTTGCGATATCGAATACGTGATTTTGTGAAGAAAAATGCAGAGAAAATTACAAGGATTATTCAAAATAGTACAACACCTCTGCTGGTGAGTGGCACTATTAATTGTCCTGTATCGGTTGCAGATCAGCTGCAGTTATTTCATAGCGTTAGCCTTCGAGAGTAAATGAATCTTATAATGAATACGAAAGTGATCTTTGCAGTAATGAACACTACTTGAGCAGTAGAGGTCATGGGTCCAAATCCTGTACAGGTCTGAATTTTTTTCAGGTCTTATTTTCACTACTGCTCAAGTATTTTTCATTACTGCGAAGATCGCCTTCGTATTCATGTCTTTATCCGCAGTTAAAATATATGACTTTCATATATTCATAGTCGTTTGAATCTTATAAGATGTTTTGGTGTGTAGTATCGCTGAGTATTTTTACGAGTTGTGCTGTACTTTGACTTCATTCGGTTTTTCGTTCACACAGGCCAGCATAGCTAAGGATTTTTTTTGCAATAATTGAGGAACACTGAGCGTTTGATTGCGAAAGACTAAGATTCTCGTCAATTTTGCATTGAATTTAAATGATATTGGGAAAGAACAAAAACGTCGATTCTCTAGATAACGGAAGGATTTGTACCAACAACATACTTACTTCTGTACATTCTACTATAAACAGCAACCAAAACATAGTACTGCTGAGGAAAAAGTGCAAAACCTTGTGGATGCCAACTCTCAAATCTACCGAGATGCCGTCACTGTTGTGGCGGGTGCTTTGGCTGTGAGTATTGTGCTTGGAATTGCCTGGGAACTCTTTCGAAAACGACGTCTTAGCCGAGAAAGAGGTAACTTAAGCTAGGAGAAACATTTCCATTGCAGATACGTTCCCGTAACTCTACTCTTTACTTGATAGAATACGCTTTAACTTGGCGAGTTGTTAAAATAGATTACATTTTGGACAATTGTAATATCCTATCTACTAGGGTATGTTCTCATTTTGTATGCGGGATTATTTCATTGCTTTCCTAAGTGGAAAAAAATGGAGGTTTACCTCTTGTAGTGTCGAAATAGTTGACAAAATTGAAATTTCTTGTGCGCCTGACTTTACTAGAGATAATTATAACTCATTGCCCAACAAAGGAAACAAATTAGTTTCAAATATTTGCGTTGTAAAATGGCCATGATCTTTAAAAATTAATTGTTTTCATTTCAGGGGGAAACAAAAACTCTTGTGTATCGGATATGGCAGAGGCTGTGGACGACTTCCATGACAAATTTAAAAAAATCTATAACAGATTGAGAAAAAAACACTCAGAGGAGTTAAAGACTTATAACACTTTTGCCAAAAGGTTAAGTGCAATACAAAAATGTAATAATCCTGTTGTTGGGTAAATCCTAGAAGTACCAGAAATTTCAAAGAAGATTTCTAATAGAAATTCTCCTCGTATAAAGTTTTTGAACGTGTTAGAAGATTTTTTGCGATAAAGAAGACAATTTTCGTAAATGACTTAAACACTGCAACGCGAGATGTCTCTCACTTTACAAGATATTTTTCTCACGATTTGCACTATATTTAGGCAAGGTGTTGATGTTTAACTAGACAATCCCTCTGGCTAAAACAAGATAAAAAAAGTTCTTCATCGACAACTAGTCTGCTTTTGTCATATGCTTTCGGCTTGCGATGTAGAAAGTAATTCCAACCACGACCAAGAATGTTTAGGTCATAACTTTAATAATTGATATCATTATTATTAATAGGTAAGAAACGTTGGGCATTTTCAATTAAAAATTTGTCGAATCAATTTTTCTTGTTTGTTTGTGGATCAGAACTGGTTCACTCAAAAACCGCTTCTTGTACACTCTCCGTTACATTCCCAATAAGCTGAACCACAATCAGTACAAGATCCTCCGTCGGGGCTACCATTATCTCGTGTCTTTTGTTTCGGACCCTTATAAAGCAGAGCTCGTTCTGAGGGTCTAATTCTCGCACTGCAGAACGGGTCATATTTATAAGGCTCTGATACTGCACCGCGTACAGTCTTGTGGTGTTGAGGTCGAGATTTGACCGCAGTATCAGGCCATCCCGATTTGTAACCATGAGCGCTATTACGCCTTGATGAGATTGGATACGTCGTAAGACTCGTTCAACGTCTGTTTTCGAAACTGATGCTTGAAAAGCTTGCACATCAAGATCATCCATTATTCTGCAGGAAGAATATTTCTGATTGTAAGTAAAAAGTCAACATAAAATAGAATGAAATAAATGTCAGATGCGAAGTTAGGACTAATGCAGAAATTTGATCAATCGATGTGGATGCGAATCAGATGTGTGGATATTTTAGTTTGCTTTTATTTTGCGTCCTGAGCAGCTGTAAACTAGGAGCGAACTTGGTGAACTTCCTAAAGTATTGATCTGTAAAATCACTGCAGGAATAATTGAGTTCAACTCATCTCTTTATGCGATGTTATCTCACTGTTTTCGTATATACAAAAACAACTATTATATTCACCTAAGTGTCGGTGGCTAGCGGTGAATATTTCCGACGCTGCTTCGCGGCTCGGTAAATATCCACCGCTAGCCACCTGCACTTCGGTGAATAGTTGTTTATTGACATGTGCAACAATCCTGAAAATTGAGGGAAAGTGGTTTTTAGATCAGTAACAAGCAAGTACAATCATGATATCGCTGCAATTCTCCGCGCTTCTAAACGATTTATTTTAACGACACGGTTGCACATCGTAGAAGGCCTTATTAAAGTTCGACAGATGAAAAGATTACTCATATTTAAGTGTCGCACTGTGAAATACGTCAATCAAGAGTGAAATACTCGAGAATTTTTAAATGGCATCTTTATACAGTTATAGAAAAATTTCAACCCTTTTTTTCAAATCCTTATCAAATAACAAAAACGTTCAGTGTATGACAACAAGACCGTTAATTTCGAACGAAACAGTTTTTCAAATCGTTTGCGTCATATTTGGGAGGAATATATTTAATGATTACAGTAATAATAATACACATTGCAAATATTGAGGATGAAGTGCTTGTATCACAAGAACTCGTTCCGGGCGATCCGCCGCTTTTGCTTAAAAAAAATCGATTGGCTGTAATATTCGGGTTAAGGAACCATGTCGTACAAGTGCATTTCTTTAGAAGACCGAGTACAAAAATACATCGCTAAAATGTTGTCATGAGTCTGACAATGTAAACAAACATACTCGTTTATTTTTCTTGATATCCTACATCTCAGTTTAAATCATTCCCCCAAGGGAAAAAAACCAAATTGGCAAAGACATTCTTACCTGTTTGTCTTCGAAATCACCGTGAGAACGCTGCTACCCTCAAAGGAAAAAGCAGTTTTCTTGAAACTGTGCCTAGTGGGTACGCTTGCTTAGATCTTCGTAAATATAACAGGTGTTTTAATCCTATTTAGTCTAGTAATTCACAATTACTGCTGAATCTTGAATTTACATTTAAATGCAAACTGACCGACAGGAAAAGAAAACATTTGGGCTTTTCTTCAAAGTCTCACTAAAACGTTTCCCACATAAAATATATGACTTTTTAGCATTTTTTCTTTCTTATAAATTCTTAGGCTCGATGTAAAAGTATCTTAAATTCGTATTTCGTTAATGTTTCACTTTAGTTTTTTTAACGGCTTTAAAGGCAACAGTTTGGGGAAATTATAGATAGAGTTCTGTCAAAAAGAAAACTAAAATGATAACAATAATAATTATAGAAATAAAAAAACCTACTGGAGCTAAAGAAAAAAAAATGAAAATTTCGACGACTGCTTAATTTTTTGTTCGCTATAATTTGTGCGAGGTTCATTAAAACCAGCGTGAATTTTTAAGAGCTTTGTTCCATTTGAATGATTGTTTTCAATGATTCACTTGGAGTTGTCATACGACTGACAAATAAACGTGTGTTATCGTACAAGTATTCACCGTAAAGAATTCCTGGGCTTGACATCTCGAGTGTTATTAGTCCTTTATCAGATCAGCGAAGGAATGTCCGTAGCTTAACAACTGAGTCATTCGTTACTTGGAGAGACTAAATAATATTGACGGAAAACTTGCTTAAGAAGTTACTAATAAATAGCTAAAGTGCTACGTAAAACTGTACGTCTGCAGTGTACTGTGCGTCTTCAGTGTGAATCTTGTACATACTTACTTTTTGTGGTATATTCTTTTAATTACGCTTTGTTACTTCCCTGCCCAACCAATATTACATTGCTTTCTTTATATTAACAATAGTGTTTGCTTGTTACAATAAATGACAACAAAAAAAGATGAAAAAGAGGGAGAGAAATATTAGATTATTTCATATCTAATTTCTTCGTGTCAAGGTAACAACATATGTGACAAATTGTCTGTGACGCTTTCTCGCGCTAAAAGTTTAAGGTTACAACGTGCGCGATGTATTGCCTTTCACGGTTTTACGCGCTAAGGGCTAAAGGTTATAACACGAATACGTGTAGCGCTTCCACGCGCTTAAGGTCAACTGTTACAACATGTGTGATGTATTGCCTGTAACGCTTTCACGCGCTAAACTGTTGTATGTTTAAGTTGCTCAACAAGCCCTTAACTTTTTGATAGTCGTTATCGGAATATCGGAAGATATCGACAACTTTTTGAGGTTAAATTTTATGTCGAATACACGTCTGTGATCAACAAAACATATTTCGTTCATAGTTGGGTGTAATTTTAAAGAGTTATTTCAAGTTATCAAAATATTCTTCAACTGAATTGTTAGAATTGTGAGCATAGGTCTCGGCCTTCGACCCACTTTTGAACTGGCCAATACGCATTAGGTTCCCTGTGGGAAAGTGATCTCGCTGTTCGTTTTTCCACTCTTGATTTCCCATATGGTCTCTGCTGTTCTGTTTCTCGTTCTTTGTCTCTTTTAAGAGTAACAATTCCTTAGTATGTTTGGCTTTCAGATCAGTGTAGGTTTGACGCATGCGTTGTTGTAAGTCTTCGACCATTTCGCGCAGCCGGCTGACATCATTCATCTGTTCTCTAACATGTTCCAAACCTGTAAGCAAGAAAAAAAAACACAAAACATCTAAAGAACAATCTTAGAGTTCCTTTGACATAAACGTCTCTTACCTATTGTTACCCAAGTTTTTTTTGAGGTTTAGCCCTCGCAAGGAGTCGCTATCTGACTATTTTCACTGTTTGTCGGTTATTGTTACATAATCTGTTAGGTTAAGACCAAAAAGTCTTGCAAGGCTGGAGAAAAACTACCATCAGAGTTTGTTCGAGTTTCTGTAGAATTAACCAACAGAGAAGAGTAGCCTATCCTGAATGGAATGGTCGTCAACCACAATTATTAGAGCCCGATAATTCCTCCAGGTTTCCTGACAGTATGCTGATAGTTTGTTTACTCCTAGCTGAAAAGGGATATGCTAGTGCATACTTCTGAGTGAAGACGGTGATACATATGTTTACTCTTGCACGTGGAAAGGGTGATACTCATCCTCACTCCTGGTTGGAGAGAAGCTATGAGAGAGTATGGTGCCTTTCGAATGACACAAACAAAGACTGGAATAGCGCACGAACCCACCAGACTCATAGTCTCCATACGGAATCCGATGCACTAAACGCCAGCTTGGCCCAGTTGTTCGAAGGCCGATTAATGCTGACCCATGGTTAAATTTTTATTCTGGGTTTCTTTATTCCTTTGTTCAAAAGCCTTTATATGATATTTTTTTTCTATTCCTTTTAAAGCATCCAATTATCAGATTGTAGAAAAAATATTGTACAGAATTTTCTTTTAAAACTTTCAGATCTGAAATCAGATTTCACACTAACCCTGGGTTATCTTAGCCAGACTACGAACAACCCAGCCCTGGGCAACATTCTAGGAAGAAGGATATGTATCAGTGATGAGCATTTACCTCCATCGTTTCTTATTTTGTTATTGCCTCTGCAGCGATACAAAATTTCCCATATCAATCCAAGAACCACTGCCACCGCCATGCAAAATCCGCAGTAGAAAACAATATTTTTAAACAGTGGGCTTGAAACTTCAAAAAGGCCTGTAGACATTTCAAGTACCAAAGGTTTACCGGTCTAGAATTAGGAAAGAGAACAGATCAGTAAATCAGTCAGTCCATCACTCAATCATTCATTCATTTATTAAATCGATCAATTAACTAGTCAATCTGTGAAAAAGCTACTTTTAGCATTCATGCCGTTGCTACTTCAGTTGGTCATTTGCTAAGTCTGTTAAACACTCAGAGAAAATATTTCTCACTTAGGGAGATAAGTTATAAAAGTCAGACAGTCTTCGTTTGTCAGTTAATCAATGGTTCGGTCATTCGTTCGTTTGTCCCTTCGTTCGTTCGTCCATTCGTTCGTTTGTTCGTTCGTTCGTTCGTCCATTCGTTCGTTCGGTCTTTCGTCCATTCGTTCGTTCGTTCGTTCGTTCGTTCGTTCGTTCGTTCGTACGTTCGGTCGTTCGTTCGGTCGCTCATTCGGTCGTTCGTTCGGTCGTTCGTTTGGTCGTTCGTTCGGTCGTTCGTTCGGTCGTTCGTTCGTTCGTTCGTTCGTTCGTCCGTTCATTCGTTCGGTCGTTCGTCAACTAGTTTGTTCGTTCGTTCGTTCGGTCGGTCGGTCGGTCGGACGTTAGGTCGTTTAGTCAGTTAGTCAGTCAGGCAGTCTTTCAGTCGGATAACAATTAATTCAATATATGAAAACAAAAGAAAGTCTTGAATGAAAGCGTAAAACCCTACCTCGATCGAATCGATATTCTCCTTGATGTTTTTAAATATATCTGCTATGTTCCCTCGTTTAAACAAGTCAAAGCATTTCTGCAATACGCCAGAATCCCCGCCAAAAACTATACCATACGTTGAGGAATAATCGTATATCTTGTATATGTAAAGATGTTTGGCTTTGTCGAAGAGCGCCCTCTCGCTACCAATGGCATACGTATCGAATAAGGCGTGTATCACTTTTCCGCTTTCCAAAGCCGAAAACACTTCACGGAATGTTTTGTACGATACTGCAATTTGCAATGATTAATTAATCAGCATTACTTTGTTTGCTGCAATTGAGAGTCTTTGAAAATAAGCATTTGGCACTGGCCAGTTTTAACGCAGGTTGATGCGGCTTATAACATGATATTGCGATCTAAGGTTGTAGCTTCAATCGGGGGGGGGGGGGGGGTGAGGTGGTTGCGCACGTATCCCT